GAGTCACTAGCATATATAATACATAACTATAAGCAATAAGCATTATCACATGAATAATCATGTAAATTTCTTGTATTTACTGTCTGTACCCCCAAGACTGTAAGCTCTGTGTGGCCAAGGACCACGCCCATCCACAGCCAACAAGGTGCCTGGTGATTGGTAAATGTTTACAGAGCAAATGGAGATGCTGTTCAATTACTCCTTTAAGACTAGCCACAGCCCCACAAGAAGCAAACTCCTTGCAATCACAGAACCAAGCCCAGTCAGGCTGAAACAGGGCCTGGGGCTCTCCCTTCTCAGCTTGAGAGTCCAGAATGTAACTGGATCGATCACCTGGCATACCACACGGTCAGACATTTAGGTTTCAGCCCTGCCACATTCTCACAGGGTGGGGCCTGTTCTGCCACCTCCATTTCTCTCTGCCATGGCTGGGGCCCAGTTGCTTCATCCAGTTCCTGGGCAGGATACTGATCTACCTGAAGTACGGTGTGGGAAGTACTCTCCACAGGAGTAAACCCTCAAGCAGTCTTCAAAGCATCCAAGATAGCCAGGATCTAGAAAAAGGGAGCCTGAGCCTACTCAGGGTGCATTCAGAGCAACAATTTAAAAATAACTTAAAAGGGGGCTACAATAGTAAGAAAAATTAAAGACTATCTCCCAAAAATTTATTTAAAAATACATTGGTTTCTCTGATGTCTGTAGTTGTCAGTAACCGATGAAAAGTACTGTAGATGCAGGATATTCCTTTTCCTAATCATTAGCATTCAGAGGCGTTCTGACTAGAAAAATCATACTTATTGTGAGGCCTCAGAGGTGTCTGGCTTAGCAGTCCAGAGTGCTTGCTGCTATCCAGAGAACCTGAGTTCAGTGCCTAGCACCCACACTGGATGGTTTACAACTGCTGGTAATTCTAGCTCTGGAGATCCTACACTCTTCTGGTCTCTGTGGGTACCCATAGACACAAGCACAAACACATAAAATAAAAATAAATCTTAAAAACAGTATTTAGCTCTATTTTAAAAAAACAAACAAACAAAGTGCCAGCAAGATGGCAGTGGCTGAGGGATCTTGCTACCATTACTGAGCACCTGTGTTTGTGACTGCGACAAACTACATGGCAGACACAGAGAACCGACTCAGGCCAAATGTCCTCTGACCGAGATTCTTTCACCAGGAGCATTGAGTTCGTTTCATTTGTCAAATGACTGAGAAGACAGAATTAAGGACAATGGGTGCCATTGTGAGGTACATTTCAGTCCACTAACTCCAGTCTGGAACAACCACCTTTAGGAAGATGACAACACAGCACTAATGGCCTTCAATGACTCTGTCCCCTCCTGACAAGTCAGAAATGCAGCTGAGAGAGGCCTGCTGAGGCACCCAGGGTTCGAGGCCTAGGGCCAGACTTCACGCTCTTCCTCTTGAATTTCTTGTTGTTTTGTTTTTTGAGACAGGGTCTCATCATGTAGACAAGGCTGGCTCCAAACTCAGATTCTCCTGCCTCTGCATCCAGAGTACTAGGATTCAAAATATGTACCACCATGCCCTACCTGTCCTTCTCTCTTTTAAACAATGTTTTGCATGTGGATTTTAGAGTGCATCCACATATACACATGTATACACTGTCCCGGTCATGAGTGTGGAAATCAAACAAGACCACTCAGGAGGTTGTCTTCTCTTTCTATCATGCGGACCTCAAGGATTAAACTCAGGTGGTCAGGTTTGGTGACAAGTGCCATGACCTGCTGATCAGCCAGCCAGCTGGTTCCATGTCTCTGTTCAGAGTTTCATCCCATTCAGCACAAAAGAAAGCAAAAGTTATGGTTCAGTTATGGTGAAGGGTCAGGCACATCCTAAACCCAGTGCTGGGGGTTCAGTTATACATGATAGACCAGGATTCTACCTCTGAGTCCCCCCTAGTTCTAGGCATAAGTCTGACAACATGAAACTATGTCCCTGTCAAAAGGTAAGCCACAAATATTACAGGATGCCAAGTACATGCTGTGAAGTTAAGAGGGATTCCTCCCCTTGTACCAAATCTGTCATCCGTCAGAGTAGCCCTTGGCTTTGCACTTTATGAATAAAACTATTCATAGTAGGGTCCACAGAATTAAAAGGACCATTCACTAGCAGGCTAAAAAAAAGTTGAGATATACTTCAGCAAAATGTTTGCATAAAAGATTAAAGCGGCAGGATGAAGTCAGTTAGCTTTCTACAGTAACAAGTGCTGAGTGCTTCCTCTCTGGGAGCCACTGTGCTCAGTGCTGACTGTGTGTACACACAGTTGTATGAGTGAGCGAGTGAGGGAGGGAGGGACAGAGACAGACCAGCACACAAGGAAAAGACAGAAGCCAGGTCTCCAGGCTTACAGCATTGGCTGCCGATAGAGGGTTGTGAACTTCAAAGACATAACTAATAATATAGAACAGATAATTGTTAACAAAGTGGCACCATGGCACTGGTAGGTGTCTGCAAGAGTTCTCAGAAGCCATCTTTCTGCTGGGGATGAGGGCCTGCTGGGCAGGCTGCTTCAAGGGGATATGGATACGAGCAGAATATGTGACACAGATATATGAAAATATCAAAAAATTAAACCCATTATTTTGTGTGCTGAATAAAAAAAAAATGTAAAGGTAGGATGTGGTGATAGACTCCTATAATACCAGCACTCGAGACTGGAGAGTTCGAGGCTAGGCTAGGCTACCTGGCTACACTAGGTACATAGGGAGTTCTAGGCCAGTCTGTTTCCATTATATTGCAAGGTCCTGTCTCAAAAGAAAAGAAATGAAGGCAAAGAAGATGGATGGTCAAATTTGGGATTTGAGGTGTACTCTGAAGAAAGACTCTCCTAAATTGGAAATAGTATATATAAACATTACTGGCCCTAATGTCAGGGGAGAGGAAGCAATCTGGTTCTAAAACAACCAGGCTAGACTTGTATGGTCCTGAAAGTTAAAGGTCTTGTAGAGGCAGAAAGTACTGAACATAACTACAGTCTGGACACACAGTGGCTTCTAGATGAAGCGTATGCAGGTATGAGATGAGTGACTGACGGTGAGCTTGCCCTCCCTGGAGCTCGCTCACTGCAGCAGGAAGCTCACGGCAGCTGGGGGAAGAGCCAGGCTTGAGAGGGCTTGGGAAAGGGCATGTCTGTAAGACCCAATGATGATGATGACAGAAGAACTAGCAAGCTCCTGTGACAAGCTGACAGAAAGCTGAGGACAAGTCAGCAGAGTACAGAACAGTGGGTAAATGAGTGCAGAACTTCTTGTGGATGAGTTGAGCCCCAGGATATCCACAGTACTGATGTCTGCCTAGACGTGGGGGTCTGGAATCAAACTGGTAACCATGGGACAGGGGTCTTTCTGATGGACAAAGAGTTGTAACCTAAGTAAGCTATCTCTGGGAGGGAGTGTAATGAGGAAACCCAGAATGTCAAACTGAGCCACCGGTATATAGCAGGTGAGGGTAGGCAAGAAAAATCGAAAAGGAAAATCAGAGGATAGAGATGCAATTCAGAGGCAGAATGCTTCTGCAAACTCCTGATCCTCAACACTGGAAGAAAAAACTGATAAAGGAAGGAAGCTAGGATAAGGATAGCAGAGATAGAAAGCAGCGGAGAGTCTGAGGTAGGAAAGGGTAGTAAACCATGAAAACATGCAGTAAGATCAAGGAAGGAGCATATACTAAATGAGAAGTATTTGCCAACTGTCTGCTTGATTGAATGCATGCATGAATGAATGAATGAATGAATGAACAAAAGTTCTTGGTCAGAAGAAAGGCCAGGGTTGCTTTTCAAGAGGAATTTGTTAAGTTTTACTCCATCCGCATATAAAAACGTTTCTGCTTGCACAAGTCATCCTGTTCAGCACACACACATCCTTCCCTGCTTCCCCTCTAGTTCTCCCCATCCTCCTTCCCAGTTTACACAAGCAAAACAACACACCTTCAGTGTCAAAGCAGACAGGAAACTCCAACTTGAGTTTCCACTTCATTAACAACTGCGCCTGTGGCTCCTCTTACATAAAAGGGGTATGTGGTAACAAGGGGGAAGAGACCGGATTCCAACCCCAATTGCATTTCTAACTAGCTGTGTGACTGACTTAGGGGAAGCTGCTCAGCCTCTCTGGGTCTGTGTTTTTACATAAAAGAGAGGTAGATCTGGAAATTCAGATCAGTGTTGAAGGTCTTTTTGTGCATAAGTTCCTTGCAACACCCCGAGAGAAGAGAGTACAAGACAGGAAAATGACCCTCAAACGAAGCGCCAGGACAGGACGGATGTACCAAGAAAGTGAGACCGCGCTGCTGGAGCTTCGAAGATTGCCAGAGAGCAGATCCCATTCTCTAAACTGAGAGGGATCCCATTCCAAGAGCTGAGAGGGATCCCATTCCAAGAGCTGAGAACGCTCCTAACAAACACGAAGGCGACGCTCACCCCGCACCCCACCTTTCCTAGACTCCCAGACAGCCAGGAGGCTCCAAAAAGCCCTGTGAAGAGGTAGGGGGAAATAAAGATTTCTATTCCATGGTCCTGCACTGCTTTTGCAAGTCGGATTCCCGCAGACAACGACCTGCAGACCGATAATGACACAGTGACTCGCTAGAATGAGCGACTGTGTTCATCTCGATCGCTCCTACTTCTGGGGACGCAGGCTGCCCACGCCGCGCCCCGGCCGGCCGGCGTCCGACCCCGGCTGGGGCTGCCAGACCAGCGGCGCACTCGCCTGGCCCCCTCCGCCAGCCTCGTCGCGGTCTGGAAACATTTCCTGCCCCCACCCCCACCCCCAGCTTCCCGGTGGGAGCGAGTTGGCCTCGCAGCCGGGTCAGCGCTCGCAGTTACCCCAACTCGCTTCTCAGTCAGCCCGCGCCGGGGAGGGCCCCGTCTGGCTCCGAGAAGCCATGGGGGAACCCAAGCGAGGTCGCTCGGGAACCCCAAGGTTCGGGCAAGGCAAGGGCCAACTGGCAGCGTGCCGAGACCCCGCTGCCTTTCCTGGCGTTACCTGCTCGCTTGCGGGGGTGTCCCGGAGCAGCCGGCCTCTCCCGGCGCTGTCTCCCCACGCAGTTGCCCATGCTGGCTTCTCAGCCGATCCCCATGCACCAGAGGTGGCGATCGGCCGGCTGCTCCACGCTGCTGCCACGAACCGCGGCGTCCCCGGGTCAACGGCTCCCGCAGCCCGACATTGGGAGCTCCTGGATCTCCCCTGGAGCCCGCTCTGCCCGACGCCGGCTTCGCCACAAAGTTTGCGGGCCAGGGGAGAGGGAGGTGGCCAGGCCAGGGGGGCCCGCGACAGTGCCCGGCCAGAGACCAGCCCGGCTGGAGGGGCGGAGGGAGGGGGCGGACACCGCCGCAGCTACTCCTGGATCACTCGGAGCTCTCAGCTGGGGCCGGCCCCCCGGAGCCTGTCACTCACCTGCCTAACCCCGCCCCGGCCCGGCCCCGCTCCCTTCCTCCAGCTCGGGGTGCCCGCGCCACGGCCGCCAGACGCCCCAGGTGCGCATGTGACCGACGGCACCGCCCCTCGAGCCGGGCCTGGTTTTCTCATTGGCTTCTCCCAGGGTGCGTACCGCCCCTCGGCCCCACCCAGCCAGGTGCCCGCCCTGCGGTCAGTCTCCCGGGGAGAGCGGCGGGGAATTATGCGCCCTCAACCGCCCCGGCTGCGTGCCCAGCAGTCACTTCCCCTCCCCGAGCCGCGCCCCGGCCCAGGCCCCGCCCTCCGGGGAGGGGCCGTTAGGTCCCTTAAGGAACCGCCTGGCCCAGAGCCTACGGGCACGTGACCTAGGAGTGCCCCGCCTCCGAGGCCTGCGCCCAACTATTGGCTGTGGAGGCGCGTGCGCGGAGAGACGCTCTCGTGGCCACACCCACTTCCCCCTCCCACAGTCTCTGGCTCGCGTCATGGCTGCCGCCACCGCTCTCGGGGAGGCAGCGGCGCCTATGGGTGCCCTGTGTGGCCTCGTGCAAGACTTCGTCATGGGTCAGCAGGAGGGACCCGCTGACCAGGTGGCTGCAGGTATGGTAAGCAGCGCCGCGAGGCTTCTGCAAGGGCCGGACCACAGGGAGCGGCCTCAGCACCCGCGCGCGGCGGGAAGGGAGTGAAGGGCGAGGTGATTGTGATTGGTCCTCTGGCTCCCACTGAGAGCGTTACTGCCCTAACAAGTTGGAGAGTCGCTTGCATCTTCCTTAAAGCTTTCTTTACATTCCGCATCTCGCTGAAGTCCATAGAGAATCATTACATTTCTCCGAGAGTAAGAGACTTGTGCAAGGCACATACGAGCCCGGAAGTAGAACTGGGACTTGGACTCGGGGGTTCAGATCCAAACCTGGTGCTTGCACCGCAGACTGCGTTGTTTTCGGAGTGTTAATGTGAGAAGGTATGGGTTCCAAGTGTTACACTCCAGCCTCTTGCCATCATAGAAGTAGCGTGCGCTCCCGCGGTGTAAGTGGTTGTAATTGGATGGAGGAGGGGAGGAGCCAGTCAGTGGGCGTGTAGGTGACTAGTGAGTGTCTTTAAAGCTTCACTCGTGTGTCTTAGTAGGCTTTAAAAAAAAAAGATTTATTTATTTATTTTATGTATGTGCGTACGCTGTCAGACGCAACAGAAGAGGGTATCGGATCCCTTTACAGATGATTGTGAGCCATCATATGGTTGCTGGGAATTAAACTCTGGACCTCTGGAAGAGCAGTCAATGCTCTTAAACCATCTCTCCAACCCCTAGTAGGCTTTTTGATAAATTAGATTCATATGACTTTTTTTTTTTTTTTTTTTTTTTGGTTTTTCGAGACAGGGTTTCTCTGTGTAGCCCTGGCTGTCCTGGAACTCACTCTGTAGACCAGACTGGCCTCGAACTCAGAAATCTGCCTGCCTCTGCCTCCCAAGTGCTGGGATTAAAGGCGTGCGCCACCACTGCCTGGCAGATTCATGACTATTTAATGTCGAATTTTTTATCCTTCTTCCCAGATTTCCAATTTCAAGAATCTCTTAGTTCCTAGTTTATCCTAGATTTGAAAAGATCCAGGGGGCCTCATTAGAATTCTTTCTGAATGTCGAATGTTAGGCCTTCAGAGTCGGGTTTAAGAAATAGAACACAAAATGGATATAGATGGGGGTTTTTAAAAATTACATTTGGAAGTTCATGGTGAAGGAGAAGTTTCTTTTGCAAATTGAACAGATTAACTTTTAGAATATGTGAGAAATGAACTTCTAGAAATACGAATTGGGCCTTAGCAATAGTCCACATTCACTCTGCCAGTCTATTATTTCTGAGCACATATTTCTTTTACCCAACATGAAAAGAGTTGGGGACAAAAAATACAAATAAGATACTATCTACGGCCATCCAAATATTATAATTAGTGAGAGAGACAACTGTGTTGGAAGAGGTAAGTATATGATTCGGAAGCATCAAGGGGCAAAAATGCCTGCTATTGACTGGGCGTGGTAGTGTATTCCTTTAGTTCCAGGATTTGGCAGTGGGGTGGAAAGTTTGCTAGTCAGTTCTAGGTCAGCCTCAGCTACAGTGTGAGCCCCTCTCTCAGAAAAAAAAGAAAGAAAAAGAAAAGAAAAAAAAGCCTTGGTACTTGCTTAAGCTTATAACATTTTACAACTTAATCAGATGTAGCCTGTTATGGAGTATTATCAATGCCATTCTCCCCCAGATTTTACTATGGAGATTTCCTAGCATTTAACAAAATCGAAAGAATTTTAATTTTTATTTATATATCTGTTCATTGTCTTTTGAGACAGACTCTCTCTGTGTAGCCCTGGCTATCCTAGAACTCACTCTGTAGACCAGGCTTCCTTGAACTCAGAGATTCAAATCTCTCCCTCCAGAATGCTCGGATGAAAGGCTTAAAGAATTTTTAAAGATCATAGACTCACTACTTAGAGCCTATCACTAACATTTTTTTCTTTAATTTGAATTGTCACAAACCTACCCACTTAAACTGCAGAAATCAATACATTAATCTCTAAGTTCTTTATTGAGCTTATCATTGACTAGTGTTTGCTTTTGGTTTATATGGGAGTAAAATTTAGATCCAGTGAACTATCAGGCACATTGTTTTTCACAGAGGCTTACGTATACTTAATCCTACCCCCATTCCAAGGTAGATGTTACTATATTAATGTCGTCTGTAATTGTTCTTCCATATTTGTGCACTCTGGGAACAATAATTTTGGATTTTATGGATGCATACCACATCTTTAAAAGATAACTTAAATACCTGCCTTCATCTTATTTTTTCATAAAATACTTTTTTTGTTTATGTCTAAAAAGGAGGAAGCCTAAACTATCTCCTAGTCTTAGTGTTTTTATTGCTGTGACTACACAGCATGACCAAAAAGCAATTTGAGGAGGAAAGGGTTTATTTGGCTTATGCTTCAAGATCATAGTTCATCATTGGAGGAAGTCAAGACAGGCACTCAAACCTGGAAGCAGGAGCTGATGATGCAGAGGCCATGGAAGGGTGCTGCTTACTGGCTTGCTTCCAGTGGCTTGCTCAGCCTGCTTTCTTAAAGAAGCCAGGACCACCAGCTCAGGGATGGCACCACCCAGAATGGGCTCGGTCCTCCTCCGTTGATCACTAGTTGAGAAAATGCTTTACAGCTGGTGGCATTTCCTCAAGGGAAGCTCCCTCCTCTCTGATGACTCTAGCTTGTGTCGAGTTGACACAAAACTAGCCAGTGCGTGTATGGTTTAAAATTAGCTCTGTAGTACCCGTGTAAGTGAACCCTGTTGTCATTTATTCCTCTTAACAAAAGGAAGGTTGGTGCAAAGGAATAGTAGCCAGTAAGATTGAATGCGTTGAAGAAGCTGGATTGTATATTATATATAACCTTGAACTCCAGCAGAAGGATCTGAGTGGCTTGTTGTAGGTAATAGGTGTTTAGCCCTTTAAGCAAGGGCTATAGAATGAAAGGGAATTCAGGAAGGATTAGGTTAGTCTCCTCAGTCTTTGTTGTTAGGCTATGGTAAGTGGACAGTTTTAAACTATCCCCAGAGGACATGCACTTTCTCCAGCTCGAGTCAATCTGTGCAATACTGAACACATACATCAGTCTTCGAAGCAGCAGCTTTTTTACAAGTTACAAGTGCAGAAGGACTCCTTTGTGGTCACAGAGGAACTGCCAACTTTGTTTGGCACCTGGTGGTTCCTGGTGGAAATAGTTGTCAGCCCCCAAGGACACGCAGGTACTAGAAAGGAAATGACTCGGAAGCCCAGGAATGAAGGCCTCTCAGGCGGGCAATCACTGCTAGCCAGTACTCAGTCCCAGTCTTTATTCTCACCAGTGACCTCTTAGACCTTTAGTTCCAGGCACCAGCGTTTGTTTTCCATTTCCCAAATGCTCTCCTTCCGGTTCCCTCCACCAGCTCTATCTAAATCCAAATTAGACCTCACAGTCAAAGGCCAGTTAGTGCTGTTCCCCCAGTATTTCCTTGGATAGACAATGTTTGCAACTCCAGTAAACTTCCCACCCACTCATGCACTCACGAGCAGATTTGTTTCACAGGTATGTCTGTACAAGTACCCACATTTGACTACCATTTCTACCAAGAGTCCCTTGGAACTAGCATGAGCACATATACCATAAAACTATTTAAGGGCCAGTGAGGTGGCTCAGTGAGTAAAAATTGCTTGATATCCTGAGTTCAATCCTCTGGACACACATGATAGAAAGAGAACAGTTTCTCTGAAGTTGTCCTCTGACTTCCACATACACAAAATGTAAAAAGAAGGTTATGTGACTAGAATTAAGGAAGCAAGTAGAATCTGTGGGATTTGAGGCCCAGTTAACTCTTTAAGACTTGAAGGAAAAAAAAGCCTACCCCAGATGAACCCAGCATTTTGAATCTGGGGGCCAGGGAAAAGAGGAAGTAACTTTATCCAAAAACATGAGCAGGGTTATACTGCCCCACCCCCACCATTAGGGTTCTCCTTCAGTTCACCCTTCATTATATTATATTTTGCCGTGTTTTTAATTGCCTGAATAAGCCACTACTCCTGCAGTAAGATTGTTAAGGAGTAAAGAAGAGTAGACGACTGTGGCATCATGAGAGAGGTTTTACTGTTTTGTTTTGATTTTGAGACAGTGCCTCTGTAAGCAGGCTGGCTGAAGACTGCTTCTGTTACTGAGGATGCACTTGCACTTCTGATGCCAGTGCCAGAATTACAGGCATGTGCCATGCAGTGAGCCTCATTCGTCTGGCAAGCACTTGCCCAACTGCACTGCAGAAACTCATCCCCAGAAATGGCCTTTTTGAGAGCCTAACTGGAACCTATTCCTGGGGGATTTTTCTCCATTCTGTTCATTCGCGTCTGCTGACAGCACTCCAGCTCTGGCCCTCCCTGCCTTGGGCTGCCACTCCAGATTCTTAAGAGGCTGCAGTTCCATCAGACAGAGACCTAATTGTTCCTTCTGTGTCAGTGACCACATAAGTCCTGCTTTTGACCCTTCATCCATATGAACTCTCCTGGCTGAGGAAAGCATGCACAGTTTGGAAAGCTAGCAAAGCCATTGTTGCACAGAAAATCCAGCACAGATTGTAAAAACTTAGGCATCCTATAAAGGGAA